ATCGTTCCAGGCATCCTTGACAATCTACCAAGTCTTAATATATCATTGATATAGTGCTTGTAATCGAATGAATATGGGGAATAACTAATTTCTAAGAATAGTAATTCCCATTTTTGAAATGTCCGTCTAGATTCTTTCGACCCCGTTGCGTCCGGAAGTCACCCCAATTTCGTTTCAGCGTTGAAATACATTGAGCTTTTTGATGATAAAAATAGAATCTGGCAAGCGAGAGCGAGAGTAGCAAGCGAGAGTGGCAAGCGAGAGTGGCAAGCGAGAGTGGCAAGCGAGAGTGGCAAGCGAGTGCAACAAGAGTGATAGCAACAAGAGAGAGCGTGAGAGCGCGAATAGGCGAGAGATAGTAAGTGTGGACAAAGCGAACCAAAATAAGCGAGTAAAATTAGTGGAACAAGAGCAATGGAGGGTAAAATTAACAAATAAGCAAAAGTGAATACAGATAAGAAAATGAGTAAAGAAAGATGAGAGTAAGAGAGAAGAGAAGAGAGTAAGGAGAAAGCGAATAATACGAATGAAACCTTCTATAAATAAATAAATCGTATGTTTGTGAGAATTGTGGGAACATTTGTCGTGACGCATTTGTTTATTATGCGATAGTTTGTTGTATTATGTTTGGTTTATTATGCGATAGTTTTTGATGTATTATGTTTGGTTTATTATGCGATAGTTTGATGTATTATGTTTGGTTTATTATGCGATAGTTTGATGTATTGTGTTTGTCAGCCATATCCGATAATCATTATTAATAGTGATCATGTGCAAATGATGTAAACGATCTATTTCACGTAAAACAGACACCCTGACATGTATTTGATAAATTGATTATTATATTTTGCTTTTAAACAGTAAAACTCTAACTGACGCTAGTAAAATATTTAGATACTACTGTAGACGTGAGGACACGTCAAAAAGCCACAACTTGACGTTTGTCGTAAGCCGTAAAATTGACATATAAATTCAAAAAAAAGAAGTAATTTTTAATTTAACATTTTAATGGTAAACAAAAAGATTATCGGGATTAAGTACTAATGTTGCCGTCGCAACGAAAAGTCCCGTGATTACTAAAATCTTTATCATTAATTAGTAATGTGTTATGAAAAACTAACCAAATTCTTATCTTGTAGCTTACCAATAACACGAATTTCCTACAAAACTTCTTACCTTGCATGTAATTATCAATAGGAATTCTTGCAAATATTCGAATTGAACGTTATTCCAAATTCATTCCAAAATTAATATTTTTGTGTTGTACGTAATGATATTTATTTTTTTATAATTACAATCATTATTCGAAGCACAGTCATGCCTTTTGTAGAAATTCTTACAGCATTACATACTTTGTACGTAGTAACCGCGAATTCTTGTAGAGACTTACAACCTGTAAAATAGATAGTTATATAGCAATCAACTTGTATGTAAAGAATAGCTCTCGACAATGCAATGCGTGAGTTTGAAGAAAAAATAAATAAAAATTGTTTTTAGACTCTTATCTAACAACTTTATTTCTTACAAAATTGAATGCTTTACTGCTTTGACCATACAAAGTTGATGAATGGTGTTTTGATTCTTTGATTTAATTGTCTGACTTTCATTTATTGAAACCCTATATTTCTATTTTGTTTTTTGTGGCTTGAAATTAAATTATACTTTGTTAGTAATTAATTATCGTTATTGACAATCGTTGTCGTTATATAGTTACGTAAGGTGTGTATTGATACAGTGTGTATGAAGCGGTATGGAATTTAAATTTTATGTGCAACTTTTATTACAATTGTCCCCTTTTTTTATTTTTTATCGCTAGATTAAATATTTAATTCACAAAACCAGTGATGATTTATTCATATTTACATTGCTTTACATATATGATTAGATAAATAATATAATTATATTGACTGATTCTAGTTCTATTTCATCTTTTTATATGTTTTCTTTGCTAGACACATCAAAAATACAGGCTTTTTTTCTTTTTCTTTTTTGCTTATTTGTTTTAAAACTTCAATTTCTAATTCATTACTTGATATTATTGTTGCTAATTAAAATAAAATAAAATAATAAAAAATTTATTTGCAATATTTACCTAGTGTTAATTCTTTTTCATTTTTCATTTATTTGTTTTCAAATTTGAACTTCAAGATCTGATTTATTACCTCATACTAATTAAAAAAAGATAAAATAATAAAAAAATTAACTTGCAATATCTTACTTGTTAAAACTTTTACAAGTTCTTTCTCTTTTTATTTTTTATTTGTTTATTTATTTTGAGTTTGAGATTTTAATTTCTGATTTATTATTTATTATTATTATCATTAATTAAAAAAGATAATAATAATAATAAAATAAATTAAATTATAATAGATTTATTACTTGATATTATAATTATTAATTAAAAAAATATTAATAAATAAAATATTCAAATTATAATATTTATTTAACAAAATAGAGATAACTATTATAAGTTTTTTTATTCTTGTTTATTATTTTAATTTCAGAATTATTATATAATATTACAAAAAATATTATAAATAATCAAAATATATAAGATTTTAAATAAAAAAAATTAGTAGTATTAAAAGATGATAAGTAAATAAAAGTTTCAGTTTATAATAATAAATAATATATTATTATATTAAAATCTGATTTGAAAAAATATAAAAAATTATTATTTAATTTTTTTACTTATTGAATTTTAAACTTATCTTTTTTATTATAATATATACAATAATCATTAAAAGTAATATAATACTTAAATTTTTTACTAATTATAATTAGTAAAAAATTCAAATATTATATTACTTTTGATAATTATTATAATTAATAATATAAAGATTTAGAATTTATTTTTCTATATAAATAAATATATCTACTATTATTTTTTAAGTTTAAAATTTTTCTAAATCTAATTAAATATATTATATAACTAGTTATATATAACTAATAATTTATTTTTTTATTCTTATTAATTAGCTTATTAATATAATCTATTACAAAAAGTTTAATATATTAAATAAATACTAATAGATTATTTTTTCAAAATAAAATTTTTAATTTTATCTTATTTAATTAAGTTATTAGATATTAAAATTTATTAAATATAAAAATTTTTATTATATATCTTTTATAAAAAAATTTTACTAATAATAAATTTTCTGAATTATTATTTCTTAAATTTTATTATATAAAATTTGATTAAAATTAATATAAAAATTATATAATAAATTATTTAATTATTAAGCTTTGAATTTTAATATCTTTATAACTATTAATTTAATTTTTATAAAATTTAAAATATATATTTATCAAATTTAAAATAATTTACTTGCAAGTAATTAAAGTAATTCTAAAGATTATTAATTACTATTTTTATTTATAATTGGTAATATACTTATAAATATTCTTATTTATCTTTGGCTAATAGAATTATTGAGATATAATTATATATATTTTATTTATATTAATATAATTTGTAATTAATATATTATGAAATTCAAATAATATTTTTGTTTTTAATATCTTATTATTTGAAATAACTATATAATCTTCTTTATATTTTTAAATTACTTCTTTTTTATTAATTAAATTAATAATAACTACAGTAATATTTATCAAATATAATTAGTAAAAGAATGAATTTGTAATAATATTATCTTTATTAAATTTCTATTTCACTTTAAAGTTATTTACTTATAATATCTCTAACTAGCAAACTTGTTTCTTGAAAAAATTATATTAAGTTTTAATATATTCTAAGAAGATGTAATCTGTAATTATTATAAATTTTTGCTCTTTTAGATATAACTTTAAAGTCTGATAGTATATATAATAACTAATAATTCTTTTTTATATATTGGATAATTTTATTTTACTAGTAAAAGTTTCTAGATTCAAATATTATTGATTAATTATTCTTGTTTTAATTTTGATTTAATATAGCTTCTATAATAAAATCTAAAGTATTTGTGTAATAATTGTAAATAGTAGTTTTAAATCTAATAATAATAAAACTAATACTAATATAAAATATTGTTTAAGTAATTTAAAAGCTTATTATACTTAAATAAACTATTTATATTTCTTATCTTTATAAAGAAGTACTATAAGTAGTAATGTAATGACTGAAAACTCTTTAATAAATTTTTTATAATAACTTGCAAGTTTTAGAAATAAGTAAAATTCAGATATATTAGTTAGTACTAGCCAATCTCTAATTATAATAATCTTTCTTTAATTAATAAAAATTCTATTTACTAAGATAAAATATTCTAAATATTTTATATATTACTAAATTATATTATATTTCTTTATTTAATATATAATTTATATTTATAAAATATTCTTAATAATATATATATATTCTTTTTTTATTTTATTATATATTAAAATATGATTCAAGTAAATGATTATAAACTTATCCAAGTAATTATAAAAGATATTATTTATTAAGATTATAAAAATAGCTGATATATTAATGAAATCAAAAGATAAAATCAAGAATTTATAATAATTATAATAAATTTTAAAGATAGTTTTATAAATATCCTTCTTAGTTATATAAATTTGATAATATTCTAAATATAAATTTAATTTTAAAAAGTACTTCAAGTCTATAAGTTTATTTATTAATTCATTAATTCTTGATAAAGAATAATAATTCTTAATAATAATTTTATTTAAAACTTTATAATTTATATATAATTTTAATATATTTTCTTTTTTATATATAAATCTTCAAAAGATAAGATACTTAAATAAATAAAATCTTTTTGAATTAGATTAGCTAATTATTTCTCAAGCTCCTCTATTTTTATAAAGAAAAATCTATAAATTAATCTGAATAATAATTCAGAATTAGAGATAAGATTAATTTTATAATTAATTACTCTTTTAGATAATAGTTAATTTGGTAAGATTTTAGAAAATATAATTTTATATTTCTTTTTAATTTCTAATATTTCAGATAATAATTCTTTTTTTTTGATAACTTTTTTATATTTAGTATTATTAAGATATATTATAAAGAGTTCTATATCTGCTAGTAGATTTATAATTTACTATCTTGAAATATATATTAAATTGTAGCTAGAATCAGATTTTATTTTATTATTTGCTTATACTTTAATAATCTATGAGCTATAGATAAAGATTATGATATTATTTCTCTAATTTATAATTGAATTAATATAAAATAATCAAAATTTATCAAGAATAAAATTATATCTTTATAATTTTAATATTTATATATCTTATATATTCTATAAGTATCTAATTTTAACTTATCAATTTTAATTATAATAAGAATTATA